TGTATATTTTCTCCTTAGTCTCCATTGCCCTAGGAGCTGTGTCGGTAAAGACATTGCTAAGACACCTGTCTGCTATTTTGCTGCCTATGGAGTCTTGTAGGATTTATATGGTTTCCCATCTTACATTTAAGTCCTTTAGCCATTTTGAGTTTGTTTTTGTGTATGGTGTAAGTTGATGATCTAGTTTCATTTTTTTTTGCATGTATCTGACCAAATTTCCCAGCACCATTTATTGAAGAGACTGTCTTGACTCCATTGTATGCTCTTGCCTCCTTTGTCAAATATTAATTGAGCATAATGGCTTGGATCAATTTCTGGGTTCTCTGTTCTGTTCCATTGGTCTATATGTCTGTTCTTGTGCCAGTACCAGGCAGTTTTGAGAACTATGGCTTAGTAATATAGTTTTATATCAGGTATTGTTATCCCTCCAACTTTGTTCTTTCTCAGGATTGCTGTGGCTATTTGGGGTCTTCTTTTTTTTATGCCAGATGAATTTTTGGAGAGTTTATTCTATATCTTTGAAATATGCTGTTGGTATTTTAATGGGGATTACATTGAATCTGTATATTGTTTTGGGTAGTATGGACATTTTAATGATGTTGATTCTACCAGTCCATGAACATGGTATGTTCTTCCATTTGTTTATGTTTTCCTCTATCTCTTGTTTCAATGTCCTGTAGTTTTTCGAGTACAGGTCTTTTACCACCTTAGTTAAGTTTATCCCTAGGTATCTTAACACCCAGAAATCTATGGCCTTTTTATACACCAATAATGAACTCACAGAAAGAGAAATGAAAAAAAAAATCCCATTTATCATTGCACAAAACAAATTAATTTTGCATCCTGCTACATTGCCAAATTCATTTATTAGGTCTAGTAGTTTTTTGATGGAGTCTTTGGGGTTTTCTATGTACAGTAACATGTCATCTGCCAATAAAGACAGTTTTATTTCTTCTTTTCCGATTTGGATTCCTTTTATTTCTTCTTCTTGTCTGATCACTATGGCTAGCACTTCCAGTACTGTATTGAGCAGGAGTGGTGAAAGTGGGCATCCCTGTCTTGTTCCCATTCTTAGGGGAAATGAGTTTAGTTTTTGCCTATTGAGTATGATGTTGGCTGTAGGTTGGTCATATAGGGCTTTTATTATGTTGAGGTATGATCCCTCTAGTTCTACTGTGATGAGAGTTTTTATCAAGAAAGGGTGTTGGATTTTGTCAAATGTTTTTTCTGTATCGGTTTATATAATTATGTGATTTTTGTCTCTCAATTTGTTTATGTGATGTATCACATTTATTGATTTGTGGATAGTGTACCATCTTTGCATTCCCGGAATAAATCCCACTTGGTCATGGTGCATGATATTTCTAATGTAAGGCTGGATCCAATTTGCTAGAATTTTGTTGAGGATTTTAGCATCTACTAGTATGTTCATCAAAGATATTGGCCTATAGTTCTCTCTCTCTCTCTCTCTTTTTTCTTTTTTTTGTGGTGTCTTTATCTGGCTTTGGAATTGGGGTAATTCTGACTTCATAGAAAGAGCTTGAAAGTTTGCCTTCCTCTTGAATTTTTTGCAATAGTCTGAGGAGGATAGCCGATTTGGATTCCTTGAATGATTGGTAGAACTCCCCAGTAAAGCTGTCTGGACCATAGCTTTTGTTTGCTGAAAGATTTTTGATCACTGCTTCAATTTCTTCTGTGGTTATTGGCCTATTCAGGTTTTTTCAGACTTTCTATTTTTTTTTTCTTGATTGTCTTGGAAGATTGTATGTTTCTAGAAATGTATTCATTTCTTTCAGATTGCCCAATTTGTTGGCATATAATCTATACTAATAAAAGGGTAATATGCTAATTAGGGCAGATGTCTTCTGGATGTCCATCCGGACATCCATTCAGACAAAGCCACAGCGGCTGCGAGGGCCTAGGGCCTGCGCCATATGGGAGGGGTGGGCTGGGCTGGCACTCATGCGGGAGGGGCGGGCTGTTCCAGCGCCACCGGTCCAACCACAGCCCCTTTTGCAGAGGTGGTGAGAAGGCAGCACTGTGCCCCCTCTGCAAAGGCGGTGCAGCCCGGTCCCAGTGCTGCCCCTTCCGCAGAGGCAGCCACAGAGGCAGCAGCACGGGCCGGTCCAGGCACCATGCCTTCGCAGAGACTGGACGGGGTGCAACCTACTGTGCCTCAACCTCCCACAGCCCCTCCCCCAGGCAGCCTGGCCCCAGATGGCCTCCCACCCACCAGTGGGCAGGGGACAGGGCCAGCACTAAGAGGCGAGGGCTGAGGGCCTGCAGCTGTAGTGGCCGGCAGTGGCAGCAGCAGCGGGGTGACGGGGGAGCACCTTCCTCTGATCAGCCTGGTTGTCTCCCGCAGAGGAGGACATCCCATCCCCTGAGGGCTCCTAAACTGTGAGAGGGGGCAGGTCAGGTTGAGGGACCCCCCCCCCATGCACGAATTTTGTGCACCAGGTCTCTAGTTATTTATAATATCAAATAAACAATATAACCTTATACCTAAAGGAGCTAGAAAAAGAAAAACAAACAAAGCCCAAAGTGAGTAGAAAGAAGGAAATAATAAAATTAGGCAGACATAAAAAAATAGAACCTATAGCAACAGTAAAAAAGATCAGTGTAATCAAGGGCTGGTTTTTTGAAAAGACAAACAAAATTGATAAATCTTTAACCAGATTCATCAAGAAAAAAAAGAGAGAGGACCCAAATAAATTAAATCAGAAATGAAAGAGAAGTAACAACTGACTCCACAGAAATACAAAGGGTTACAAGAAAATACTATGAACAATGCTAGTACATGCCAACAAACTGTACAATCTGGAAGAAATGGATAAGTTCTTGGAAACATAGTCTTCCAAGACCAAACCAAGAAGAAATAGCAAATCTGAACAGGTCGATTACCACTAAAGAAATAGTTAGGCCATATCCCCACCCAGGAGGAGAAAGCAGTGGTCATTGCCTGGTCCTTAGTACTCAGTGGCCTCCATCTTTCTGGCAGTCTGCTCTACCATTCCGACTGCATCTCTCATGAGCCCTGAGCTTCATCGGCCTGATGCTGAGTTTCTTTCAAAGAACAAAATAACAAATTCAGTTTCTCCACAATTGTCTTCCCGAGCTCTGGTGGATAGTCATTGATCTAACCACTAGAAGTCTTTCTATAACCAGGGGGAAAAAAAGTTGGCCCATATTGGTTAGGATGAATTTTTCTACTTCACCCTATGTTATTATTTTTCAATTTTGAACGTAATTGTGGACTTTGGCCTTTCATAGATTTTCCTTGTTACTACAATGTTTCTCTTGTTTTTTAATTTCTCAAAATGTCATTGGTGGAGCAGTGGGAACCCTTTCAGCAGCGCCTTGGCCATCAGCGCTTTGTCGTCTTTGAGAGTCCTCCCCTGTGCGCACTCACTTAACCCTGGCCCATTCTGTGTCCTCCTACCCAGGCATGGGATTGACTTCCCACCAAGCAGCTCAGGTTTCTGTAGAGGCTATAATAGTAGATAACAGCATCTGGGTGGTAGGGGCACACAGATAAACACTGGTTCTAGATTAGGATTGCCAGCATTTTAGGGATAGAGCTGAAAATTGTCTTATTCCCCCAAAAGTGTATGACTTCATAGTTCATAGTTACCTGTAATTTTACTAAGTATCTATTTGACTTTCTCTATATGAGTTTTTATCTAGTTCATTCCCTCCTTTTATAAATCTATCCTACAAGTTTCTCTATTAACTTCCAGCTTTATGCTATTGGTTGTCATCCTAAACTGTGCATGTAAGAGACACATCACCCCCTCCCTCCTGCGGCCTGTTTCAGGCATCCTGGAATTGACTAACTTGTGCTGTATAGACCATTGTCTTCCTTGTGTCACTAGAACATTAAATACCTGAAAGGACAAAACAATTCAAATCTCTCTCCAGAGCTGACCAACTCAATCTCACGTCCTGGCCCCTCTCTGGGAAACATGCCCAAGATGCCTGGACGGGGTCCCATGCAATTGTTGTGAAGAGTAAATAACTAAATGAAACAACTAGAGGCTTTTAATATTTATCTAAAATCACCCACACATTCTTCACTTTTAGGTGTGAAGCTTTAGCACTGAATAGGAATTTTTTAAATGCAGTCCTTCCAAAGCATTTATTAAATACCCAGTGTCTACCATGCACTGGGCTCGATGACTGACACTTTGTAAGTGCACAATAAATGTTTGATTTAAAAGGAATTAAAAGTTTGTCTGCCCAGTAACAATCTCAGCAATCTGGAGAAGGCAGATTCTACTTGTACGTTAGAATAGCCAGAACTTTCGCGTGCGCTCTCGGGCAAGCGTCATCTATGGGTTTCCGCCCGTTAAAGGTTCCTCTTCTCTACCTTGATTCCCTCATAAGCTCACACCAGACTTTAAGTAGATTCCTTTACTATCATTCCACATTTAACAGTGGTACCCATGCTTGCACAGAGAGAGATGAGTAAGAATGAGTTGCATTGTATAGATTTCACTGTGAGCAGTGACCTTTGCAATAGAAGAGACGGTTCATTTCATTTGTTCAGTGACTACTTACATGTGTGCTGTGTTCCACAGCAGTGAGCAGCCTGATCGTCTGGTACCTTTGGGGGAGGGCTGAGGCAGTTTTCAAGTAGCTTCAGTACAGTGTGATGAGAGTTTTGATCGGGGCATTGGAGGGGCTGTGTGAGCACAGGCTGGGAGAAGGAGGAGCTGGGGGCCCGGGAAAGCTTGCTTTTGAGATTTGGGTCAGTAAGTCCACCCCATAAATGAGCATACTCTTTCAAAGCAGCCATTTGAAAGAAGGCTCGAGAGCAACCTAAAACTAAAATGAAGAGGAACAGCATTGACCTCCCGATGTTTCAGAATTGCCCCAGGTAGCTGGCTGTGCCTGTGCCGCTGAGGGAAGAGCCCCATGTTTTGGCGGGATGTGCGGGAGCTCAGTGCTAAAGGTCTGTCTCCTGGCCTTGACTCATGTTTATGTTGTTGGTGTTTCAGTCTCTCCTCCGGATCCTGGAGACGCCCAAAGGCCGTGCTGCTTTCAGAGTCTCCAGTGGGTTCAATGGGCTGCTGTCCCTGCTCTCTGACCTGGAGGGTTCTCTCCAGGACCCCCCCGGGCAGATGTGGGGGGCGGTGTCCCCCAGCCAGACCCTGGGCCTGGTCCTGCACACCCTCTGTGCGGTGTCTGCAGCGCTGCACCTGGACCCTGTCAATGGGGACTTCTTCAGGAGGAACGGGCTCTTCGAGAAGCTGGCCGAGGACCTCTGCTTGCTGGGCTGCTTCGGGCCCCCAGAGGAAGAAGGAGCCGCTCTGCACTCCGGGGAGACCTCCAAGGCCAGGCCATTTGCTGATTTGCTGAGGGTGGCCTTCTCTTCTGTCAGCCTCTTCCCACCCAAGATACAGAGCTGTCTCCAGATCCTCAGCTTCCTGGACAGCATGGCCAGCGGCACCCTCCACCGGCGCTGGGACCTGAAGGCGCCGCTCAGAGCTGGGCCGGAAGCAGCTGTGGACGCCCAGAAGGGAGAAGCTGGCAGCGACCCCCAAGGCAACTTGGAGCAGTGGCCAGACCTGGAGGAGAGGTAGAGCTTTGTTGCCTGCTTTGTGATCGGGTCATCAGTGTATCTGTCTCCCGTTTCCTACCCAGACATCCCGCACGTGGAGTGGGTAGAAAGCCTAGGCTACAAGCTGGGTGTGCAGAAATGTCACATGACTTTCTGTTCTTTAAACCAAGTTAACTCTGACTCCAAGCTCCCCTACCATGGGAGCTAATAGGAAACCAATCTGAGGGCACACAGGGTCGTGGGGTGCTTTGGGTCTGGCACGCTGACCAATCTTGGAAACTGGGTGCAGACTCCAGAGATTGGCTCACTTTCTCTTTGGCATCTTTGCTGCTCCTGGAGCGTGGGTGCTTGTGCCCGGCCTCCCGTGTGTGCCGGCAGCTTTGTCCTGTCTTATATGCCCCTCTGGGCACTGCCAGGGGATGGTGAGGCCCTTTGCCTTCCAGGACACAAAGCACAGTGTCCTTCCCAGCCATGGCTTCTTCCTGTTCTTACTTGCTGTCCCCACTCCCCCTGGCAAGGACAATCGCTCCTCTCACTTCTGGAGGCTAATCTCCTCACTGAGCTCAGGCGGCCCCAAACCACATTTCACTTTCATTTCCAACACAGAATCTCACTAGAGCAGCGGTTCTCAACCTTCCTTATGCCGTGACCCTTTAATACAGTTCCTCATGTTGTGGTGACCCCCAACCAGAAAATATTTTCGTTGCTACTTCATAACTATAATTTTGCTACTGTTATGAATCGTCATGTAAATATCTAATATGCAGGATGTATTTTCATTGTTACAAATTGAACATAATTAAAGCATAGTGATTAATCACAAAAACAATATGTAATTATATATGTGTTTTCCGATGGTCTTAGGCGACCCCTGTGAAAGGGTCGTTCGACCCCCAAAGGGGTCGTGACCCACAGGTTGAGAACCACTGCACTAGAGCGAGGGAGGGCAGAGAACCTGCCACGGTCAGTCCGGGAGCCGGAGGGGAAATGAAAGGACAAAACAACAATAGTTGGTGTCTTTCTTCATTCCTCCAAAGCAGCAACGGCCAAGTTCAAATTCGCATTGTGATAAACTGTCCTGCCACCACTTCTCTGTCGTCTCCCTTAGCATCGCAGGGCATTTGTCTCCGAAGAAAGCTCCCCTTGGCCAGACTCTAATGTTGCAGTCGGTGCTGAGTCTCCAACTACTGTGATTGTGTTTGCTTGATTGGGTAATCTGGTAAATTAATTGGTCTTCTAATCTCGCATTCCTGCACAAATTGCTCATGATATAATTATTGTTGGATTTGCTTTGCTAATTTTTAAAGGAGTTTTGTTTCTGAGAAAATTTGGCTTTCTACACTCCTTCTTGACTATCAAACTTATGCTAGCCTCACAGCGGGAGCTGGGCACGCTCCCGCATCTTCTGGTCCCTGTGATGGAACTTGGCAGTGAAACTCAGGCACCTCCTGCTTTCTTGTGAGAAGATTTATTCTTGTCAGAATGCATTTCTTTTTATTCTTGAATCATTCTTAGTTATTTTTCAAGTCTATTTTCTCACTTTATCTAAGTTTTAATTTATTGACTGAGGCTTTTTATAATACCCTTTTTACTTTTTATTCCTCACCTCATGGATGGTGTCTTCTCTGGACCCCAGCAACCAGAGTTCTTGGCAGAGGTTCATTGGTTAGTGTGTCCTATGAACTAACTCTCAGCGTATCCTGTCACTCATATAGAAATGTTCTCTGTCTTTTTTGGTCCTTCTTTCCTTCTACTTTCTTTGAGTTTATTTGTTCTGGTATTCTTTTTCTTAATTTAAGTGATTAGGATATTAATTTTCAGTCATTTTTTAAATATGAATTTTCTGGTAACTACTACTTCAGCAGTATTACACAAGTTTTATATTGTACTTTCAATATAATTTAGTACTAAGTATTTCCTAATTTCCTTTCTGGACTTAATAGTTTTATTCTTGAGCCTTGTTTAATTGGCAAGTTTCCACAGTTATAAAATATTTTTGGTAAACTCTCTTGGTTTTTGTCTAAAAATGTCTTTATTTCTCCCATAATTCCCGACTGATAGTTTTGCTGGGTATACAGTCTTGGTTGACAGTTATTTTCCCACAGCACAGAATGGGAGCCAAAAGCTTCCAGTGTTGCCTTTGAGAAATCAGCTGCATTTTTAATGCTCTTCCTTTGAAGGTAATCTGTCATTTTTCTCTGGCTGCTTTTAAGATTTTTTCATGATTCTTGTTTTATAGTTTTACTATAATGTGTCTTTATTTGGGTTATTTTGAAATTTATTCTGCTTGAAATTTATCAGAATTCCTGAATTTGATAACTGTCTTACATCAGTTCTGGATATTCTCCTTAATTTACTACCTCTTCTCTATCTTTTTTATATTATACTTTTCTAGAACTTCAATGATATGTTAGCTTTACCTTTATTCTAGCTTCCAGTTTCTCATATCTCCTATTTCTTTCACATTTTCAGTGTGTTTGTCTCTGTGTACTGTGTTTTGTACAATTTCTCTTGATCTCTTTTCCAACTCACTGAATCTCTTAGTAGCTGGTTGTAACATAACTAGAGGCCTGATGCATGAAATTTGTGCAAGGGCTTTGGCCCCCGCCACCACCACCTCTTCCTCAGCCCCTGTCTGCCGCGGCTTTGTCTGGAAGGACATCTGGTCTAATTAGCATATTATGCTTTTATTATTATAGATGTTTAATCCAGCCATTGAGGTTTTGAATTTTGAATTTCAGTGATCATATTTTACATTTCTAGGTACTATTTTGTTCTTTTTCAAATGAACTTGATGATTTTATAGCTCTTCTCCTTGCCCATATTTTTCTCTCCTTTATTTCTTCAAACATATGAATCATAATTCTTTTTTTCCCCCAGGTCTTTTGAGAGTCTGATTCTACAATCTGTTTTTTCTGTGGCTGTCACTTGAGGGTCCCTTGTTTCTTTGCGTGATTTATGACTTTTGACTGTGAGTCTTGCCCAGGACTTTCCTTTCCCAGGCTCCATGCAGCCCATCCTTTCTCTGGTCCCCCGGCCTTTCTGCAGACGTGAGAATGAACTTAGTGAGGCTGTGGCTACCCACTGTGAGCCAAGCCTTGGCCAGATTCCAGGCCTTTCCCTATTTACTTCTCTTTGGTGAGAATTCCCTAATCTGTCTGTTTGGGGGGGCGGGGGGGGGGGGTTGCTGAGGAGCCTCTGCCCTGGCCTCCTGGACGTGTGCAGGGTAACTTGGGAGCTCATCTTTGAACCTGTTCAGCTGATTCTGCCAGCTCGCAGAGGGCAGAGAAGTATTTGGCAGCACCAGGAGGCATTCAGTAAGTGGTCCTGGCTGATGAAAAGCAATAGCCATTTGTTGAATGTCTCTGGAGTCTGAGCACCAAACACTTATTTTAATTTGATTTCTTCTCAAATCCTAGACTATTACTAATACAGAAACCAAGGCTGAGAAAGGATCAATCACACAGCCAAAGTCACACATTTAGGAAGTGACAGAGCCAGGCTCTGAATCCGGGTTCACCTACAAAGGGGCGTGTGTGTGTGTGTGTGTGTGTGTGTGTGTGTGTTCTTCCTGCTTTTTCTAGATACCCTCACAATAATGGTGATGCTTTGCCAAGCATTTTGACACAGTAATTTCTTTCTTTTTTTTAAAAAAAAAATATATTTTATTGATTTTTTACAGAGATGAAGGAAGAGGGATAGAGAGTTAGAAACATCGATGAGAGAGAAACATTGATCAGCTGCCTCCTGCACACTCCCTACTGGGGATGTGCCCGCAACAAGGTACATGCCCTTGACCGGAATCGAACCTGGGACCCTTGAGTCCTCAGGCCAACGCTCTATCCACTGAGCCAAACCGGTTAGGGCTTGACACAGTAATTTCAAGTTTGGTTTCTAGTCTGTGTATGGTGTCAGCCTGATTCTTTACAGATAATTCCTGTGTCAAATGTCATCCTGGTTTCACAATGAGAATTTTTTAAATGTATAAGGGACCCATGATCAAGTTATGGAGGAGTTCTTCTATTTCCAATTTACTGAGAGTGTTTATCATGAAATGTTGGTTTTTTCAAATGCTTTTTCTGCATATTGTCAGGTGTTTATTTTTCTTCTTTAATTTATTAACATGATGAATTACATTAATATGACTGATTTTTTTTTGGGTAGTGAATCAGCTTTCATTCGTGGAGTGCGCTCAAGTGACCATCGTGCCTCATTTATTTTATGCATTTGACTTCCTACTAGTTTTTGAGGACTTTTGCATCTGTTTGTAAGAGATGTTGGCAAGTAGCATTGTTGTACTAGTTGTGTCTGCTTTTGATATCAGAGTAAAGCTGGCTTCATAGAATGCACTGGGAAGCGTTCTCTTGATTTTTGGAAAGCAGTTGTGTAGAATTGGTGTTATTTATCTTTTGGACGTATGTTAGAATTCACCAGTGGAAACATCTGGGCCTGGAGTTTTTTGTTGTTGTTTTTTGTATGTGTGTGAGGAAAGGTTTTTAACTCTATTCAGTTTTTGTAATAAGTACAAACTATTCTGGTTATTTTTTTCTTGCTTGACTTTTGGTAATTTGTGGCTTTGCAGGAATTGGTCCATTTCATCTAAATTGTCAAATTTATGTAGACAGTATTATTTATGGTATTTTCTTATTATCCTTTTCATGTCTGTGGGGTGTGTAGTAATATTCTCTCTTTCATTCCTGATATTGATAGTTGTGTCTTTTCTTGTTTAGTTAGTTTAGATAGTAATTTTTCAATTTTTGAAATGTTTCCAAAGACCTAAATTCTTCTTTCATTTATTTTCTCTATTGTTTTCCAGTTTTTAATTTAATTGATATTTACTATCTTTATTATACTTTTTCTATTTGCTCTGGGTTTATTAATTGATTTATTTTTAAATAGCATCTTATGGTAGAAACTTGGATTTTTCATCAGAGACCTTTTTTCTTTTGTAATGTAAACATTTCAATCTATGTTTTCTTCTAAGCACTGCTTTAGCTGCACCTCACAAATTTTTCTAT